ACAATTAAACACTCATACAAACTTATGTCTCCACATTACATAAATGAACCTACGTGGGATTCGAACCCACATCTTTTGTGCATTTGCACAATGCTCTACCCTTGAGCTAGTAGGCTAACGTATTTAAAACATTCAAACACACTCACAAATGAGCATTAATTTGAAAAAATAAGCAAGAATCATTTTCTCATTTGAATAATGAAAATTAAATAGTTTGCTCATTTGACAAAGGAGCATTGAATTTTTTTGCTCATTTGACAAATTAATGCTTTGATGAAGCTAGATAGGCTCTGGTGATCAAAATTGTTTAGTTTGTGCTGATGCAAATGAGACTCAATCTTAGGTAGTTGAACAAATGAGAAAAAAAGTATTTGCTCATTTGATAAATGAGCAAAAAATAATTTGCACATTTTTGCTCATTTGATAAATGAGCAAAAAATTATTTGCACATTTGTCAAATGAGCAAATAGTTAGTTGCTCATTGTCAAATGAGCAAACATTTCTTTAGTCATTCATTACATCAACAAGTATTTCTTTGCTCATTTGTGAAATGAGCAATCAATTATTTGCTCATTTGACAAATGAACAAATATTTCTTTACTCATTTATGAAGATGTTACATGTTCTGTGTCTGCAGCACTCATACAAATGAAATATCAATTTCCCTATTTCTTCTCTTAAATATTGATCAACAACTTCAAAAAGCAAAAGCAACTCAACTAATAAGATGACTCAAAGCACGTTTCAGAACAACATGATCTCTGAAAAAGGGAAGCTCTGCCTGATCAGTATTCTCTAATTGGAACTCTGCCAAATCACCAATAAGAAAGACACATTTTCAGAACAAGGGTACTTGCCACTGTTATCCATGAATGAATTTGGTACTCTGAATCTCACTTCTTGATCACTATTTTTGAGTTATTTCTCACTTTTACTTCATTCACCTTTCCTTTGAAATTGGGTTGGTAAGGCTGAACATCTTAATATAATCTTTTATCAATCCAATGCAATGAAACCATGCAAAACATAAAGCAAATTAATCTCAACATTGGTAAAGTTGAACATCTTAATTCTACATTAAAACGGATATTATATATAGGACATATAAATGAAACTACCACTAATCCATAATTCCTTACAACTTTTAATATTAAAAGCACAGTAAGACTATAAGTAAACCGGTAATACTCAATTTGAAACTCCAAAAACTGAGTAAATACTACCATTAGAGCAACTCATCATACACCTAGCTGTAAAATGTTGCCTGAACCAACTACGATTATTTCCGGGCAAGAGTACACACAAAAGACTAGACTCGTCTAGTCATACTTATTCAAGAACAGTTGAAACCAAACTCATCTTGCAATCCCAAGCGCTAACAACATGACCATCAAAACGAGTACCTCCTTGATATTGTCTATAAAAACTTTTACTCGGATCAAGTAATGCAAGCAGTTTACCATTTAATACCAACCATTTACCAGTCTTAGAAATACACAATAAACACATATCATTGCAATTGAGATCATACATATTCGTCCAAGTCAAGTCATCTTTGTTCAAACTCCAAACTTTACGATGACAAAATGTATACTGTAAACCATTGGTAAACACTTTCCGACCATAATTATCAGTCAAAACATACTAAATATGTACCTAGAAAATGTCACAACACCTAGAACCTAGAAGCCGAGACTTAATACAATCTTGGGGAATATTAAATAAGAAGACCATCAATTAAATATGTACTACATTTGAAATTGATAAAATAATAGGATTCATTGGAATATTGTCAAACACTTAGTGTGCATCAATATTTTAGCACAAATTAGGGAAATACAAGTACCAAAATTGACAAAATCAATCTCTATAACCATTCAAAACCTCAGAAATTATAAATAAAAGTTCAAATTACACTATAAGGAACCCTAAATTAACAAATGAAGCAAAATTAAAACTAAAATCAACTAATAAGTACTCAAATAGAAATCGAACAGAAATCGCCCGGAAAAAAAAATCGAACGGATATTGAACCGAAAATCGCCAAAAATCGCAAAAAAATTGACAAAAACCTTAAGTAATCAAACTAAAATCAACGAAAATCAAACTAAAATCAACGTAAATTACCTTGACAAATAATCAATGAAGTTAGAAGCAGAATTGATGAAGAATCAAAGCAAAGGAAGAGAGCAGTAAGAAGGGAGCAGAGAAATTGAAGGAGGAGAGAGAAAAATGGCACGTCGAATGAAGGAGGAGAGAGAAAACGCTGGAATATTGTATTTGAAATTACATTTGATTGGGATAAATTGTAGCCATTTGATGCAATTAATCCAACGGTTGTAATATGTCCTCACATATGATAGGGTTCTCACATAAGGGGGGTGGTCTCATATGATCATATATATATATATATATATATATATATATATATATATATATATATGTATTACCCTAAGATATGGATACGAAATACATCATCACAAGATTGAACGATTTGTATCAAATCCCCCCTATCCCCCTAAACATAGTGAAAGATCAAGATAGTTTCAAATAGAGATGTTTCATAATGTTTTTAGTTGGCAAATTTTATACCTTGGTGTGGCCAGCCATTATATAAAAATTTGTGTATACCTATATCTATCGGTCTTATTATCTAGGTACATTTTTCACATGCATAACATAAACAACTTCTCCAAGTAGTTGGAGACGAAGGACATATAGTGATTGACAAAGGGACATCCAATTCCACCCATTCAATGGTGTGATGATATCAATCTCAATATTTCATAGTACAACTTGCGCAAGGTTTAGATTCTATGTCATTATTCAACAACTCAATTGGCCAATTATCTTTTTGTCACGTTTTCAATATATAAAGATTTTAATACCATGATATCAGAATTTATCAATCACTTGTAAGGTTCGCCACAAAAGAAACTAATTTCTGTTATTCCATCATAAGATTCTATCTTATAAATGACCTCTTTTCTTAGGGGACAATGAAAGCAGTACGAAATAATATATGGTGAGAATATATACCTATACATTTTCTGTTATTGATTTGACTAGCATAAACTATAGCATCAGTCAATTTACACAGGGAACTCGATCGATAATACTAATATTTTGTTCATGTACTAGCAAAAAAAAAAAAAAAAAAAAAAAAAAAGATGAAATTGCTATTAGGATGGTGTGCGGCATGATTATTGTTATGCACACATACTTATATTTTGGACCGATACATTTTGAAAAATTCTTAACTAAGTTTTTTTTTAAAAATTATTTAGAAAAATACTTATATTTTGGCCTGATACATTTTGAAAAATACTTAACTAGGTTTTGTTCATGTACTAGCAAAAAGAAAGATGAAATTGCTAATAGGAAGGTGTGCGGTGTGCCGCATAATTATTGTTATGCGCACATACTTATATTTTGGCCCGATACATTTTGAAAAATACTTAACTAGGTTTTTTAAAAATTATTTTTCGTCTATAAAACTTCTTCCTATATAAAAAAAAATAAAAAATAAAAAAATAAATAAATAAATAAGTGGAAGGATGATCACCGTCACAACACCACACAATTGTATATATTTGCAAGTTGGCTACTTCTATCACCATTTGATTTTAGAAAGAAACAACTGGTAAGTGGTATAACTCTCCTTTCATACTCGTATGATGTATCAGGTGCGATCCACTATGTTTTATTTCACGAATTGTTATTGTGACACTTATTCGTTAAATTAGTCATTCCTACTACCTTTGAAAAGAGTAATAAAGTAATGATATACCGAAAACATACCAAAGTTTACTGTTACATTCTCAAAGGGTTAAGGGATTTTATCGATACATTTTACAAAATAATATGTTCGTAAGGTGTAACATAGTTGCAAGGGTGCTCAATAATCATCCATTACTCGAACTCTAGAAGATTGATGTGTTCATGATCAAGACAAAGAGACAATCATAAAGGGGCATTATGGTTTATTGATGGAGAAGCAATCATGAATTTGCTGAAATTTGAGTTTAAATGTTGGTACAATTTAATAATGGTGAAAGACATAAATACCAACCCGATGGCGGTGTTCCTCCCACCGCGTGATTGGTGTAACTTACGGCGGATGTTACACCAATCACGGCGGTTATAACCGTTAGATATGCTACTATTGCCGCCGCTTTGATCGACATTAGTCTATCTCCCGCGGCTATTTTCCTCCGGTTTAGTTTTTGTATGGTTTATGTGGTTGGTTAAGATTAATTTGAGTGAAGCTTAGTGTTAAAATATTGGGGAAAATATTTCTCAGTATTTTCTCATTGTATTTTTCTATTGTATTTTTCCCATTTAAAATATTCGATCATATTACAATAGGAATATCTAATCATAATATTTCTAATTATCTTAACTTCCTAAAGCTATCACAATATATCACATATATCTTTTCACAATAATATCTCATATGATATTATTCACAATATACGTTACTATCTCAATACTAATCGTTGTAGGATGGTTGTAGAGTAGGAGTAGTATATTTGGAAATTGGTAAGAAAGGGAAAGGACGTGGGGGATGACCACTGGTGCACTTTGGCATGTGACTTGGGAGATGAGTGTGCTCGTTCCGTTCTTTCTTGTTTGTTTTTTAAGGACTTGATTATTGGTACTCCGTATGTGACTTGGAGACGACTGTACTCACTCTTTTTTTTTTTTTTAAGGGAATTTGATTATTGGTATTGTTAATTGTTATAATTGATTGATCCATGAGTGAAAATTGAGCAAATAGGACAATTATATTCTTCCTATAAGGTATATACGTACAATTGGTTGTATTATGAAAATGTTGCAAAATCTAGAGGTATTGAAATTAGAATTTGAAGGAGTTAAACTAGCATAACTAACATCACTCACAACACAGTTTTCAATTATTCTACCTCAACCAAGAAGAAAATTAAACTAATTTAACATGCATAATTAACACTTCTCTATTATCAAAGACTAAAAAATTTCAAATATGATTATATAATAGAAGAAGTGAAGAACACAATATAATAATTATACGTTTTGGGCACATTGTCCTTGAAAGATCCACTTGCTCATGGATGATATTAAGAAGCTACTTCTATAGGATATAGTTTGAATTATCCTAGGCCAAGCACGACTTTTGAGACGCAAACAACACAGATGATTACATCGTATTATTATACTTCGTATTGATATTGAAAGAACTAAACTCCTAAAGATGCTTAGTAGTTAATCACTTAGGAAGTGGAATAGCTTGAAGTGGCTCAACTTTTTGCAATGTAAGCCCAAACTTTTCTTCAATGTCGATAGCTTTTGGACTTGCCGCATTCCAATTAAACGAATGGATAAGAGTGGCTAACATCAAATGCACCATTCTATTTGCCAGTGGCATCGCAGGACACATCCTTCTTCCTGACCCAAAGGGTATGAGTTTAAAATCTTGTCCTTTTATATCAATGTTTCTCTCTATAAATCTTTCGGGAGAAAACATATTTGGATTTGGCCAAACACTTGGATCTCGACCAATAGACCATATGTTAACCCAAATAATTGAGTCTTTAGGTATCCAATAGCCACATAACAACACTTTCTCTTCAGCCTTGCGAGGTACCAAGAATGGTCCCACTGGGTGCAACCTCATTGTTTCTTTCATTATTGCATCAATGTATGGTAAATTTGTGATATCAGACTCTTGCAAGATTGATCCATCTTTGCCCAACACTTGGTCCAATTCAATTTGAGCCTTTTTCATTATTTCGGGATTGCGCAATAACTCTGTCATCGCCCACTCTAGTGCGTTTGATGTTGTATCTGTTCCCGCTATAAACAAGTCCTAGGCCGCACACAAGTAAATTACTAAATGAGAATACACTATAATAACAAACCTTCAACTAATAATATTGGAAATTATGTGAGAAACTACCTAATAAAACCTAAATTTTGCGAAAAACTATCTAATTAAAAAAATGTTGTAAGAAACTACCTAATAAAAGGTAAAATGTTGTAAGATACTACCTTTAACCGAATTCCCACTGTTGACTTAATTTCACGACATTGATCCACCTCAAAACACCGTGAAACCATCGTGAGGGTTGGATTTCAAGGTGGCTGAAAAGTCCGAAAACCACAATAAATTTTACATTTTATTAGGTAATTTTAATTTCTTACAACATTTTACCTTATTAGGTAATTTCTTATAACATTTTTTTTTATTAGGTAGTTTATCACAAAATATGAGCTTTATTAGGTAGTTTCTGACAAAAAATCCAATAATATTTCAAGGCAAGCAACTTGCTATATTTTTGAAAGGATTAGTCAAACAAACATACCACGAGCATATGTCTAATGTCGTCAACGCTCATTTCTTGATCCTTAACAAGCTTAAGTAGAGTACCTAGAACATCATCCTTAACATCTGTTGGATCTTTCAATCTTTCAACGATTATTTCCTCAAAAATTCCGAGCAATTTCTTGAAGTAACCACTTGTTCTCTTCAATGCTCCTTGCAAATCCAACTTCTTAAGTAACGGGAACAAATCCGATAAATTAGCCCTTCCACACTCTTCTAATATACTCCAAATAAGATCCTTAAACTCTTGTGTATTTGAAGAAACATGGCTAGCTAAATCGACCGAGAACAATGTGTTAGACAACAAATTTAGCGAAGTTGTGAACGCGGCCTTACCAATATTAACAGGCAGACCCTTTTCGGAACATTGTTGTACGTACTCAACTAGCTCTTTCACCTTCTTTTGCCGTATGTCTTGACTCATATTAAGTTGTCGACTGGTGAACAGTTGGATAGTTGCGATCTTTCTAAGGTTTGTTCGTTTGGGGCTTGCTGATGGAAGCCAAATCATGGAAAATTTATCGTGGTTTTCGGCCTTTTCAGCCTCTGGGACAAACTTACTAGAAAGGGCTAAGTCATGGTTAAGGAACATTTCTTTGGCTACCTCCGGGGATGATATAACTATTGTAGTTTTGCTCCCTAGCTTGAGAGACATTATTGGACCGTAAATTTTTACAAGCTCGGCAACAGCAAGATGAGGATTGTCGCCGAGCTTGAGAATGTTGCCTATGATAGGCCATGGTTTTGGTCCTGGGGGTAGTTTGGATTTACCAAACAATATTTTTGAGCATTGGATGGTGGTGATGAGGATGGCGAGGAGTAGTAGTAAAGTGGTGTAATATTCCATTTTGTGATAGGCTTATAATTCCGAAGATACAACAAACTCGTATTTATAAGATAATTGATCGAATACATACTCTATAATAATTAGAGCCGTACGAGGTGCGACACACTAATTAATACGAAGCATACTATTGTGATATATATTTGAGTAATGTCCTGTTCTTTACTGTGAGGAACAAGTTTTGTTTCTCATGGGGTATGTGTCAAGAGTAGAGAGGTGCACCCAAAATTGACAGACAGTCCCCACTAGTGAAAAACATCACATTATTTTCCAAAATGCCATTATGAGGAACAAAAGTGTTCCCTATGATGAGGAACTGAGGCTCCCTCTATTTACCATTGAAGGATAGTACTACGTATATTATTGTAATACTATGTAGAAGATATTGAGATATGAGATATGAGTAGTAGTGGAGTTATGGAATAATTACCGACCGAATAATCTGCTCGTATGAGTTATTGATTTTTTTTTAATTAAATATTAAACATGCTATAAATGAGTATACTGTGGAAGTGATTTCTGTAGAACTTTTTATTTGATAAAAGCAAGTCCCAAGATTCAATTGAGAAGAAGTCAAAACTGGTGTGCGGAAATCACCAGATTTGCTGGAGAGAAAATACAACTTTCTCACGTCATTTCGCGTGGAAAAGAATGGGGTGTTTTTGTCCATCAAGAATTTTGGATGGAAACGTTAAATTGCAATGTTTGATGGCGTTAATTGGATGGTATTAACTCTGTTAAAGTCTGAAGCTACCTAAATCACTCCAAGTTCGAGCTTACCTAATTAAATCAAGAGAAGGGAAACTAACAAGCAAACGACAAAATACCTACCCTTTGGGATTCACCATATCATTAATTTATATATTTTTCTTAGAGTTTTTTCGTTAAAAATCAGCGGCGAAGCCGTCGAAAATGTTGTTGTTAGGATTGGGGGTTTGTTGTGGTGTTGGTATTGGTGTGGATGGTGCTTGTTTTGTGGTGTTTAGCGGAATCCGCCATTGTTGTTTGTTGAGGAAGGAAGAAGAAGGAAGGGAAGAAGGAGAGAACAAGCTCACGGAGTTAATTAACTGTGCATAAATTACATCTACTTTCTCACATACAGTCAGCAAAGGGGTCCACTGTAATGTCTAAATAATTGCAAAACTACCATTTCAGGAACAGCCACCGTTTCTTAATTGAGAAACCGGGGCTTCCTCTTTACTGGAGGTATGAAATATTGAATTGATTAAAAGGGTTTTTGAACGTCACAAATTTATATATGTGGCTGGCCACACCATGCGACAGAGATTACTTGAGTTACTCGGTTAAGGGTTATTTGAGTTACTCGGTCAGGGGGTTATTCCAGGGGTTACTCGGTCAAGGGTTACTCGAGGGATTATTTGAGGGGTTACTCGGTCAGGGGTTACTTGCATGAGGGGTTTGGTCAGAGGTTATTCGAGGGGTTACTCGGTTAGGGGCTACTTGAGGGGTTTGGTCAGGGCACTACTACATTTTTAATCTAATACAACGGTACAAAATTAGCTAATACAACGGCTAATTTCATACCGTTGTCGTCTAATACAACGGTTTATACTAAAATCGGTCTAATACAACGGTTTATACTAACCGTTGTATTGGATAAACTCATCCGTTGAGGAGTCTAATACAACGGATTAAAGAAATCGTTGTATTAGACCCTCTTGGGCCTTTTAATTTATTCGCTCATTCTCTCATTCACTTTCATTTTCATTTCACACTCTCTCTAAACCTCTCTGTCTCCCCTCATTCTCTCTCTCTCTCCTCAACTCTCATTCTCATTTCACTCTCTCGCCTCTCATTCTCTATCTCTCCTCAACTCTCTCGTCTACCCTCTCTCTCTCTCCTCAACTCCTTCATTCTGGGTTTTTTTTCGTTTTCTTGATTCTTCATTCGTTTTATTCATTTTTTTGCTGGTTTGTTTGAATTCTTGTTTTTTTTTTTGTTTTTCTGGGTTTTTATTAGGGTTTTTTCTGGGTGTTTCTTGTTTTTTTTTTTTCCTTTTTCTGGGTTTTTATATTTTTATTTGGGTTTTTTGGGTTTTTTCTTGATTTTTTTCCTGGGTTTTTTTGGGTTTTTTTTTTCTGGGTTTATATACATTTTTTTTTCTTGATTTTTTCCGTTTTTTTCGTTTTCAGATCTATGTTATCGTTTTGTTGTTTCGTTTTCAGATCTATATTTTCCAGAATTTGTTTCGTTTATAAGGTATTATCTGTTGTTTTTTTTGTTTTTCAGATCGTTTGCAAATCTTGTTTTCGTCTTTGTTTTTCTTGTTTTCAGATCGTTTTTAGTTTTTTAATCGTTTTTCAGATCGGTTTTTTTCTTTTCGTTTTTCAAATCTTGTTTTCGTCTTCGTTTTTTCGTTTTTTTGTTCTTGTTTTTTCAGATCGTTTTTTTGTTCGATTTCTGGGTTCGATTTCGTTTTTTCTGGGTTATTTTTATTTTTTTTTATTTCTGGGTCTGATTTCGATTTCAATTTTTTCGATTTCGATTTTGTTTTTTTTCCGATTTCGATTTCAATTTTTTCGATTTTGTTTTTTCTGGGTTTGTTTTTTTGTTCGTTTTTTCTGGGTTCGATTTTGTTTTTTTATTTGTTCGATTTCTGGGTTTTTTTTTTTTCTTCAGATTTTCAATTTTTCGGATATTCGTTTTCAGACTTTTCAATTTTTCGTTCTTCGTTTTTCGTTTTTCAATTTTTCATATCTTAGTTTTTCAGATTTTCAAATTCTAATCATCCAGAGATGCAATACCAAAATTAAGATGCAAAGTTGCAAACTAAGAAGTATTGATCAGTAAGATCAATAATCTGGACAGGACTTGGACAATATAATAATAATAATAATAATAACAATAATAATAACAATAACAATAATAAAAATAATAAGAAAGACCTAATACAAACGGATTGGGGAGCAATCCGTTGTATTAGGTTCAGTTATTCCAAAAAAAGACGAAAGGAACCTAATCCAACGGATTGGGCAATCCGTTGGATTAGGTAGATGGGTTTCTTTTACCGTTGTATTAGACCTAATCCAACCCTAGCAAATGTGACGGTTGCTAGCCGTTGTATTAGGTCTAATACAACGGTTTTTAACACCTAATACAACGGAAATAGGGGTTGGATTAGCTCTCAAATGTAGTAGTGGGGGTTACTCGGTCAGGAGTAACCTGAGTAACCCCTGACCGAGTAACTTGAGTAACCCCGGTCACACGATGTGACCAACCACACAGAAAATCCCCCTTTAAACATTGACTCCCGTGTAATATTAACCGTGGCTGTTGAAACCTTTAATTTGATTTAAAATAATAATACATTAATATGGAGTAGTTGATTATTATAAGGAGTATACATTTTCATGCATTTTAATTTAAAATTCCAAGCATTTGAAAAAAAAAAAAAAAAAAACAAAAAAAAAAAAAAAAAAAAAACCTAAAATCTACTATTTTCGGTTTCTTTTAAATACAACATGTATTTTTAGCACACATTTTGAGGTAGAAAATACGGAGTAAGCAATATAAATGACCAAATTATTTAAAATAAATTATACGATGTATAGTACCTAACTCTTCTCTAATCTAGTTGCTTAAATTATTTTGATAAAGTTGTGCGTTTGTTTACTCTAATCAACTCCTAAAAATTGTGCCAAAAATAAAGGGAGTGATAATTAAAAGAAAACAGAGAAAGTATATTTTAATACGGAGTATCATAAGGAACATATCTCTTGTTTCATGGTCTCTACTCAAATATACTTTTTTTTTTCCACTCATCATATCCCTCACTTTTCAATAAAATATTAACTCTACTATCTTTCTTAATGTTTTTTAACACCCCAATTAACTACCCCACTTATATCTTATTATTTTAAGTCTATTGAATCACCTAAAACTATGTGTCGGTCATAATGTAACAATTAAAAAATCAGAGGGATTAATAAAATACTAAAGTCAATAATTATGCCAACTATGTTCCAGCCAAATCGTGTCAACTAAATAGAAACGAAGGGAGTATAAATTAGTGGGGATGTTGGCCCGGGTTCCCGCTAGTCTTCCTATGTTACCCTCTTGAGGAATTTGGACATGTTCTTTAATGTATATTTCAATCCGAGCCATCCGGCTATAGTAGTGAAGTTGATAGAATATAAAAACATATTCCTGGGCTTTAACTATCAGCTTAAACTTTTGGTTAAGATGGTCCTCTAACATGGTATCACAGCTTAGGTTTTCAATCTAACTTCCGCAATTTTTCTTATTTTTTATTTTTTGTTACAACGGGTGCTCCTTCCTCACGAGTCACTGCCAATTACCTCCACTACAATTGCAGCTTCCTTCATCCTTGTTTGTTTACACCCATTAATTTCCAAACAACTTGCAGACTTACTTTTCGTTAAATTTGCATTTTTTTTTTATTTTTTTATTTTTATATCGCCTAAACTATGGCAAAGGACGATAATCAACACACTCCTCCACCTCCACACTTCTTTTCAAAGTAGAATATTTCGTGCTGGGTAAGCAGAGAGTCCATACTGTATCCACATTTAAAGCCCAAATGACTCTCATGTGAGGGAGCGTGATAAAGTATAAAACATATTGCTGGGTCTCAACCATTAGCTTAAAGTTTTAGTTGAGTTGGTCCTTTAACATGGTATCGGAGCCAGCGTGACACAAAGGTCACAGGTTCAAATTTTATTCACCCCCCACTTTCAAGTGGAATATTAAGCGTCAAGTATGAGGAGGGCCCATGCTGCATCCACACTTCAAACCCAATAGACTCTCGTGTGAGAGGGCATGGCAATTTGTCTAAGTTGCACCCTTGTGCAGCTAACCCACAAGCCTATTTTCAAACACGCCCCATTAAAAAAAGGCCTAGACCAAAACGAGCCCATCCAAAAAACTGAACTTATTTTTAAAATGTAGCCCACCCAATTGTCATTTATACAAACTGTCACTTCCAATAGCTATTTTTTTTAAAAAAATATAATTTAAAAAAAAATCGTCACTCTCAAACTTAAATTTCTGAAATTTATTACTCCTCTCTTTGATTTTCTCTCTCTTACAATCAA